GAGGACAACCTGATGTCTTTGGGAGTCATTATTCAGCTTAGTATTAACGAAAGAACAGGGCAGGCAACAGTGATTGCAGCAAGTGTCCCTCTGTTTCTATTGCTGCACACATCCGTGTCATTTCTGTGTAATGCCTACAGTTACATGTGGGGTATTATTGCAATATACAGCACATGTATCTAAACATTTTGGATTCAAATTAAAATCTGAGCTGCACAACAGCCTCCAGAATGAAATGACTGTCTACCTTGGGGAATGTCTACATTATCCATGATGTGGTGGTGGGGGGTCTAACACCTAGTCTCTCCTGTTTATCACTTGGCCTTAGCTCTGCCAATGACTCTATCCTTATTGTTAAATGCATCCAAGGGAGGAAACCCATGAGGGAATTAGTCTATGTGAGAGACGTTAGTTTGGGTAATAGGAATGTACCCTGCAGCTTTTGATTCAGTGTAGGTTCACTGATGGGTCGAGTTGGGTATAGGCAGAAAATTTTGAATTGGACCCTTGGATTTATTACCATTTTCTTTACCACCCTAACGCTGTGCACCATTCTCTGTGCTTCTTGGGTTTCTAGGCTAGAAACACTTCTTGAGGTGGGGCTGGTCCTACGCATGGTTTATTTCTGCTTCTTGCCTACAGACTGGGCATCAAGTCTGCTGGGAACCAATCCTACAGGACCCTCCTAAAGCAAAGAACTCCATCTCCACAGAGTTGCGTGAAATTTTCACACATATAAACAGATGGAATTATTCATACTTGAGCAGTTTTCAAGACAAAATTATGTTTTCATGCATTTGAACATTGTCACTTCTTGATTTATTCTCTAGTAATATTAATAAATCTTTTATACTCAGGACAATAGAGGGCTGGGATTAGGCTTAGGACTTGCCTTGGATGGAAAATTTAAGGGAATGCCAAAAACTCAGTAATCAAAATAACATTGTAATACAATATTTTAATAATATCAAATCAAAATCAAAGCAGCAAACTATAGCTCACAGGCTGACTATTTCTGTTTGTTTGTTTGTTTTGAGACGGAGTCTCGCTCTGTCGCCAGGCTAGAGTGCAGTGTTGCAACCTCGGCTCACTGCAACCTCCTCCTCCCAGGTTCAAGCGGTTCTCCTGCCTCAGCCTCCTGAGTTGCTGGGATGACAGCCACGCACCACCACGCTTGGCTATTTTTTGTATTTTTAGTAGAAACAGGGTTTCACCATGTTGGCCAGGATGGTCTTGATCTCTTGACCTCATCATGATCTGCCCATCTCGGCCTCCCAAAGTGCTGGGCTTACAGGTGGGCACCACCATGCCTGGCCTAGGTTGACTATTTCTGTAAATAAAGTTTTATTAGAACCAGTGAGACAGCCAGTAGGGAGGGGGTCCCCAGAAAAACTCCAACTGGCCTGTGCACTGGGGTGGAGCCACATAAGTTTGTGCCATTTGCAGGGGGAAAGAGCCGGGCCCCTCCTCTTCCTGAGTGGAACCTGGGATCCCAACTGCGATGGGAAACGCTCTAAACTCTGGCATGCTGAGAGTACCTGTTTCCCTCTTTTTTTTCCCTTTCACCCAATAAAACCCTGCTTTACTTACCCTTCAAACCATCGGCAAGCCTGAATTTTCATGACTGTGGGACGGACAAGGACCCCACCTTTAGCTGAACTTTAGGAAAAGTCCTGTAACACCAGGCGCAGGATAAGGCTGGGCAAGTGTGGCATAGTCATGCAAGTGTTAATTGGATCTTGTCTTTAAAATACTGATATTTTGTTCATAAAGAACTCTTTGCATTATTTGATTTTTAATAATAACTGCAAAATAACTTTAATTTTTAAACTGAATTCTTAAAAATTAAAAAAAAAACCTCTTTTTCAAGACAATTATTACAATTTAATATGGAGCAAAAGTGCTTCATGTATTTTTCCCAATCTGTCAGAGAATGTTAAAGACATACTCAAGAATCACGATGTCAAGAAATTAATAATTTTTACTGCCTCAGCAAGGGCATTGTTCGGCAAAATAGGCATTGTTTTTACTGTGGGTAAACAATGGCCAAAAGTTTTACCCTATCAATGCAAATGTCAATACAGTCAAAGGCAAATAACATCTTAGAATGAAAATGATTTTAATCCCAAAGACTCCTTGAAAGGGTCTTAGGAGACACCAAGGTCTATGGGCCACACTGTGAATTGCCGCCTTAAAGGGTAAAGCTTTCACAATATATCAAAAGCACTGTCAGTCACAAGATAAGATCCTCAGTCAGATGGGGGCAACGTAATTATGACTAAGCTCAAAATTAGTTTTGCAAACATCAGGAAGAGTTGAAGGAACTGACTGTCATATAAATAGTTTTGAGCGATCAGGAAATCTTTGGGGCTAAAGATAAGGTACAAACACAAACAAGAAGTGAAAGAATCTGAATGGCATAAATACAATGCATGACCTGAAGGCATGGCCGTATTAGGGCAACAAAGTGGGGAAAGAGCACCCCACCATCACTTACCTTCCATTCCTTGCCCCCATTGCCTCCTGGGTAATGAGGGGGCAGAGGATACTAGAGCATCAGCAGTAGCAGCAGGAGCAGCAGGAAGAGTGAGGCAAATGGAAGGAGAGCACAGTGCATCCCTAGGCTACTCCAAGACCTTGGGCCGGTGGTTCTGGTGCAGAAGCTCTCCCGCTATTTACTAGCACACAACCTTGAATCTCCAAAGAACTGTCTGGCTGAGCCTCCGCCATCATGTGTAATATGGATTAATATTGATACCTTCCTCATACAATTGTTGTAAGGAGCACAAGAAGATATAGCTAAGGCACTGAGCACAGAAACCGAGACAGTAAGTATGCAGTAAATGTATCATATTAAGCAGAAGTAACATACTTCCGTGCTGATTCACTGCCCAATGTTTGGTAACTTTTCCCTATATGCATCCACACTTAGCCCAGAGCCTTGTCAGAGTTAGGTATTCAGTAAGGGAAGCCTGTCTGGACCTGTCACTTCCTCCATGCTGCACTGAGATTCATGACTCTCAACAATTCATGCAGAAATCTGATGTTTAGGCTGAGCACAGTGGCTCATGCCTGAAATCCCAGCCCTTTGGGAGGCCGAGGTGGGTGGATCACCTGAAGTCAAAAGGTTGGAACGAGCCTGACCAACAAGGCGAAACCCTGTCTCTACTAAAAACACAAAAATTAGCTGGGCTTGGTGGTGGGTGCATGTAATCCCAGCTACTCGAGAGGCTGAAACATGATAATCACTTGAACCCCAAAGGCGGAGGTTGCCGTGAGCCAAGATTGCACCCCTGCACTTTAGCCTGGGTGACAGAGTAAGGTTCAATATAAAAAAAAAAAAAAAAAAAAGATATCTGATGTTTAAATATGAAAAAGTATACATAAATGTGCAAATTATTGTATAAAAATGTTTGTTACAGAATTATGTTTTATATTTCTTAAAATCATTTTTATTGGTATTAAAAACACACTGAAAAACAAAGGAAATGGCCTTAGAAAGTGACACTAGCAAAACATTTAACCCACCAAGAGAAAAACATACCAACGCTGCTTTTTGCTAGTAGGTGTCTGTGGTAGACAGAATAATGCCTCCCATTCCACCCCAAGATGTCCACATCTTGATTTCTAGAACCTGTGAATATGTTATTTTATATGGCAAAAGAAACTTTACTGATGTGATTATTTTAAGGACTTTGAGATGGGGGACATTACCCTGGTGAGCCTAGTGTAACCAGAGGTCCTTAATGGAAGACAGAGGCAGAATTCAAAGGAAGATGTGACTTCAGAAGACAGGCACAGAGAGATGCCACATTCCTGGCTTTGGAGACAGAGGAAGGAGCCACATGCCAAGGAATGTTGACAGCCTCTGAAAGTTGGAAAGGGCCAGAAAACAGACTTTCCCCTAGAGCCTCCAGAAAGGAACACAGCCCTGCCAACACCTTGATTTTGGCCCACTGACACCCATGATGGACTTCTGAAATACATAATAATAAGACGATAAACTCATGTTATTTAAGCCTTGTGATGACTTGTTACAGCAGCAAACAGAAAACTAATACAGTCCCAAAGCTTATCCAATCGCTTGTGGCTTCAATGCACAACAAAGAAGTAGCCAGGTCACCAAGGTGGGGACTAACAACTCCTACAGCTTTACTAAGCTGCCCCGTGCAGCCTCTGGCCATTGAAATACCACAAAGATTTATCATGAACAACCATCCCTACCCATGAAGATTTGGATTCAAGAGTTCTAGAGTGTGAGAATATCCATGTTTAACAAACCCTATTGGTGACTTTGTTAGATATGGTCAGTGGTCCACACTTTCAGACACATTCATTTCTCTTTTTTTTATTTTTTAGTTTTTGGAGACAGAGTCTCGCTATATCTGTCACCCAGGCTGGACTGCAGTGGCATGATCTCAGCTCACTGCAACCTCTGCTCCCAGGTTCAGCGATTCTTGTGCCTCAGTCTCCTGAGTAGCTGGGATTACAGAAGTGCACAACCATGCCCAGCTAATTTTTATATTTTTAGTAGAGACGGGGTTTCTCCATGTTGGCCAGGTGGGTCTCAAACTCCTAACCTCAAGTGAGCCACCCACCTGGGCCTCTCAAAGTGATGGGATTATAGGCATAAGCCACCACGCCCAACAGACACATTCATTTCTATATGCAAGAAGCTTACAATTTTAGAGGCTGAGTAAATATAATTCCAATCCCGGTAGATAAATGTATATGCATTATTTTAAAGAGAAATCAACAGCCAGGGACAAGGGTAAAGGTTTAAAAATGTCCTAGAATACATAAATTCTTTTGTTTGCTTACGTCAACAAAAACGCGTTACAGAATTAAACCAGATGAGAACTCTGTCTGCTCTCCTCACGTAACCGGTACTTCAAGGTTAGAGGGCAGGTGAAATGGAACCCTGGCAGCCCTACGCACCTCTCACTGAAAAGCATCCCTGATGAGCATATACCCAAGCTGGACCCTTCCTACCCTCTCACCTGTCTCGGCTGTTTCCTGATGAGGTGGAGATGTGCTGGCCCAGGGCGTGTCGTCTTCAAACTGAACCCAGTTGCTGATGGCTGAGGCCAGGTCAGGTGGGGGCTGCTCAGGGCTCCCAGGTGGGGAAGCCGCTTCAGAAATGAGGCCCATCTTTTCCGAGGAGTCATCCTGCTCCGAGTGGGAATGGTCTTGAGAGCTTCCATCCACCACATGGTTCTCCCCAGAGGAGCTCTCGGACTGGTCTGAGGAAGATAACAATCCTGGGAGGTGCTCTTCTGTGCCCCCTGAAACAGATACCAGACACCAACATCATGGGAGGAAGGCCACTCTTCAGATCCATCTCATGGAGGCAAAAACTAAGGATGGCCATGGGGTACCTGCAGAAGTCGCCACTGCAATGGGTGGGGAGAAGAAAGAGCCAAAACCACCTGACTTCATGTTAAATGACTGGTTCCCTAATCATGTGTAAAGGCTGTCCACACAGCATGTCTCCAGTCAGTATCCTGGCAGGCAGAGACTAGCAGCCTTCTTCACTATTCCATCCCAGCATCTACTCATAAAGGGGGTCATAAAGAAAGTGCTTACAGAGGGCAAGTAAGAAATATACCTGAGTCAAGTAGGACAAGTGACAAACAAAATTTTGGAGACTGGTGGGAACTGCAGCTGAACAGGAGAACTTCTGTCTGGAGACATTCAAATTCAAATTTAAAACTCTCTGCAGTCTAAGCTATACACATCCACAGGACCCCAGGTGCAAACCTGTGTGCACTAATGACCAGCTGAATGTGACACAGAGGCTCTTCTTGTAGCTCTTTATCACTTGATGGGGCCTAGAAAATTTAACAGCCTTCAAAATCTTTTTTGAAAATAAAAAAAAACTATATCCTGATTATGGTGGTAGAGATATAAATCTATACATGTGCTGAAATTCATCAGCTGTACACCAAAAGACGTCCATTTTTCTGTATAATTTTTTAATCAAATAATTCATATAAAAATCTTTTCTCTTACCACTACCCAACTGGTCCATCTACAAATATTCAAAGCCTCTATAGTACTGTCAAACAGAAATACAAGGTCAGCCACACATGTAATTTTAAATTTTCTAGTAGCCACATGAAAGAAGTAAAACACAATAGGAGAGTGTATTTTTAATAATATATATTTCAACCCAGTATGTTGAAAATTTATAATTTCAACATGTAATTAATATAAAATTATTAATGAGCTATTTAATTTTTAAAACTAGGTCTTTGAAATTTACTGTAGGTATTTTATGCTTACAGCACATCCCAATTCAGACTTGTCACATTCAATAACCACATGGCCACCATATTGGAGCACATACCTGCAGACTCACACTTTCTAGGTACTATAAATGAAGCTGAGATGACTTCAGTTGGCTCTGGTAGCTGCAGTAGAACAGAATCAATTGACATGTCTCTGCAAGTATCTCCTGGATCCTACCTTGACCTTCATTCCTGAGCACGAGTTCCCCAAAGTCAATATAGTCATCCTCCTTATGAGCAAGGATGCTCGTACTGAGCTCTTTTCACAGGCCAGGCACTGTTCTAAGCACTTTTACGTATGAATTCACTTAAACCTGTGAGATAGGTACAGATTATCCCTACTGAACAGATGACAAAACTATGCATGGAAAGGTTAAATGAATAATCTACCGAAAAGTGTATCACTCATTCCTGGCACAACCAGGATTTGAACCCAAGCACTGTGGCTCCAGAGCCTGTCACTTTTAACAACGACACTTTTAAAAGGTTGAGAGTAAAGCACTTTGTAAATATTAAGTTTTTGTTTCTTGGGAGAAAAGAGCCAATACTTTTGGTGTTTCCAGACCTCTTTTTTAGGGCCCTAAGGTTCCCAAGATGCTTCCACTTAGAATTCTAAGCAGAAGAACTTACACATCTCAAGAAACTGAGAAACAGACTCTTTTTTCTATATTAAGATCCCACCCAAAGAATAATCAAGTAGAAGCCATAACAAATAGACATGGTTCTGTGACAGTCTCTCAGTCTCTTCACTTTAGGAAATGAAGGCACTCCTTACCCTGCGAGTGGGCAGGAAAGGGTGGCTCTTCACTGAAGGAGACCCACTCTGACTGGTGGGTGGCAATCACATGGTCCAAAGTCGTCATGCTAAAAAGGCACTGATCATCTTCACACTGCTGACCTCAGGTGAACCCCAGAATACTGTCTGGGGCAGGCTGGGGTAGGGGTAGTACGGTAGACTTGGGTCCAGGGTCTGTTATAGGTGGCTTGCCAAGGGCAGTACTCAGAATGTAGACAGATCAGCCCCTCTTGCCGTTGGTTAATCTGTCAAGCAGAAATCTGTTTAACAAACAAACAAAAAGGTTAAAAGGATAACCATCACATTATACCGCATCCACACAGGTTTTTAGCACTGCCCACAAGAAGGTTTGGGGTGGTTTCCAACTTGCCTTACTTCTCTCTTTTCCTGGCATACTGTCACCTTTTATACTAAAATATGTGCCTTTAGCATAAAGGTCTCTAGATAAGCCTTCATATCACACTTGTAAATAATTACACAAATTTCAGCAATTAGATTCTCTAATTTCCCTAACTATTGTATTTTAGAAATAATGTCATCTATAATACTATCATTATAAAACAAATATTAAAACTTTTCAAAATGCTTTCACTTTCTCTTACCAGATGGCAAAATAAAAGCAAGTTCTTTTCTGTTAAATTAGTACAGTTTCTTGCCATAGGCAGGTAACTCTTTGCAAGCCTGATTAAAATCTTTGGCAGAAACCCAACAATCTCCAGATGGTATCACCAAGCATGGTTTACCAATCAAGGAAAATACAAATGAAGTAATCTTGTTCATTTGGAGTAAGAGGAAAAGGAATACCTGTGCTAGTGAAAAATGTGAGTTAGAGAAACATTTTCAATCTAGACCTATTTAAATTAGTATATAATGGTCTAGCCTTTGCTCCCACTACAATGATGTTCTAAGAATACTGAAAGATTCTTGATTGACATAATTTTGTTTATGCTATTAATATCTTTTTACAACCTGAATCTAGCTCTTGATCTAATGATGAATTAATAAAATCTGAATTTAGGTAAAATTAATGTGCTTCCACAAAAGAGCTGCTATACACCTTGAACAATATCAGTTCTTTTTTTTTTTTTTTTTTTTGAGACGGAGTTTCACTCTCGTTACCCAGGCTGGAGTGCAATGGCACGATCTTGGCTCACAGCAACCTCCGCCTCCTGGGTTCAGCAATTCTCCTGCCTCAGTCTCCTGAGTAACTGGGATTACAGGCACGCACCACCATGCCCAGCTAATTTTTGTATTTTTAGTAGAGATGGGGTTTCACCATGTTGATCAGGATGGTCTTGAGCTCTTGACCTCGTGATCTACCCGCCTCGGCCTCCCAAAGTGCTGGGATTATAGGCTTGAGCCACCGCGCCTGGCAATATCAGTTCTTATTAACTGAATACACACAATATTCAGATAGTTTCTAGAACAACTTAACTCGTAGCCTTCCCATTAGTGCACAATGAAAAGTTTAGGAAACTTTACTACAGGTTATCATCTCCAGAAAACAATCTACACATGGCAAAACAGTAGAAACATTAACAGCTTTTCTTTTTTGGTGTTTAAAACAATTAGTTTTGGCACATGATGCTTCCTAAAAACAACTAATGTTTATATAGAATTTATAATTTTCAGAAACACATTTTCATACCATACTTCATTTGATTCAATAGCCATTTTGTTAAGTAGGACACATAATACTATGATTCTTCCATGGATAAAGAAATTTGGACTGAGAAAAATTAAGCGACTTATCTAACACTTTTAGTGTTTCTAGGCCCTTTTGGTACTCTAAGGTTCTTAAAATGCTTCCTCCAGGCTTCTAAGTGGAAGAGTTTACAAATCTCAGCACAGTGGTTAACAGACTTTTTTCATAATAAGATCTCACCCAAAGTAATCAAGTAGAAGCCATAACAAGCAGTTGTGTTAGATGCACCATACTAAGAAGTGATAGATCCAACCCTTAAGCCCAGGTCTTCTACAGCCAAAACACTCTAACCCTATGGTCACAGCCACAAAAAAGTACAATAGAATACAGAATATATAGACCAGCACCCAACTTAAGTTGTTTACAAATACCAATTACAATGGAACTGTAATGAAATGTCCTGGGAAACTCCCTACGTGAAAGTTTGCCAGGATACCCCATATAAAGAATGGAAAGCCCAAAAGACTCTTCTCCAAGTTTGTCTCCTAAGATTCTTGCCAACCACAGGACCAGACATATGCAAATAGCCTGGACAGTGCAGGTATCCCAAACCAGATCTTACCAGAGGGCAGCGCAGAGTTCACAGGCACATAGAGCTGATTCCCATGGGCTTCTGCCTATGATGCCTTTCTCAAGCCCTGTCAAATGTGTGTTACCCAATGTAGTAATGGCTGTGTGCCAAGATAAGGCAATAAAATTGAAGAGTCAGATTCCTGCTCTCTCAATGACAGCACAATAAAAAACAGCCCCACTGCATCCTCCAAAAAAAAAAAAAAAAACCACAATACAAGTCCGTATGCTGACACATGCAGTGTCATCACTCAGTGGGGGAAACATCCTGGTGATCCCGTGATGATGAACCCAGCAAAATTCTAACTGGGGTAAAGAAGGGAACAGGAGAGGAAGGTGAAGGTAAGGGGAAAATATCTAAAAATTTTAAACTGGAAGTTTTAAAGACCAATAACTTCAGGTGTTATGAGAAAGCTGAGGCCCAAACAAATCAGGTGCACCAGCAGAGATTGTGATCGTGGGCCCAGGAGTTAGGCTGCCTGGATTTCAGTCCTATACAGTCTTGGACTCATAATTCAACCTCTTCAAGCTTCAGTTCACCCTTGTACAGCAAGAATAATAAAACTCACTCCATAATTCTGAGGATTAAATGAGATCATGTATACCAAGTACTCAGGACTGGATGTAATAAACCCTCTGTAACAATGACAATGAAAACAGCAGGTGACCTTACAGAGGGCTTACTGTGCCCCAGGCTCCATTCCAAACCCTTTGTAAATATTAGCCATTGCCATCACTGTTGCTTTTGTTAAATAACTCGCCCAAGGTTGCACAACTTGTTCACAGAAGCCTTGGGACGAGAATGCAGATTTCCTGAAACCACCCGATTTCTGTCATTTGCACATTCCGATTTTAGCCATTGTTCAAGAAGTTCTCAATGCTAAGTAGAGTCCTGTGCCCAGCAACAGGACCCAGAAGGCAGATTCCAAATCCTCTTCATTATAGATATAGGTGCAGTCTTGCCAAGGAACCAAGACCATTCCTCAGACTGTATGAATGAAAAAAGGGCCCTAAAGATTTATCTATCCTTCCTTCACTTGTCTCAGACCAGACATGGGCTGGTGACAGATAATGAGTAGTCCCAATGAAGACTAGTGGAACAAATTTATCACATGCAAACCTCTTATCATATTCCACAAGATAAGTCCATATAACGGATTTTAGGTATTTGCCACAGAAGAACCACAACCAATAAGCCGTAAGAAATTAGACCTTGAGCTGGGCGCAGTGGCTCAAGCCTGTAATCCCAGCACTTTGGGAGGCCGAGACGGGTGGATCACGAGGTCAAGAGATCAAGACCATCCTGATCAACATGGTGAAACCCCGTCTCTACTAAAAATACAAAAATTAGCTGGGCATGGTGGCGCGTGCCTGTAATCCCAGTTACTCAGGAGGTTGAGGCAGGAGAATTGCCTGAACCTAGGAGGCGGAGGTTGTGGTGAGCCGAGATCACGCCATTGCACTCCAGCCTGGGTAACAAGAGTAAAACTCTGTCTCAAAAAAATAAACAAATAAATCAGACCTTGAAAAGTGCTGTGCTAGCAGCTGGAAACCCACAGAAGAACGCAATAATTGTGAGGTTAAGTTCATACTGGAATTAGTTTCTTGGTAAAAACCTCACCCCATTTTTAGAATGTGAATCATAAAATGAGGTTTAGAATCACCACAAATGAGTGGTGACTCAGTAACAACAGCAGGACTGACCAAGAGATACTAAAAATTTCAATAAAGTCTTGGAGTTGCCATTTCAGAGAGCTACTTCTTTCTCAGCACTGCTTATACACAAACATTTGTAGAAGGGAGAATGCAATTGTCTGATAAGATGGGGGTCATAGAAGTAGTTTTGTCTTATGACAGTCCTCTAATACGCTTTCATGAGACCTACATGTCTGGAAATGTATCAGTTACCCTTGAGATGGCAACCCTCAAGCAGCTTCCAATACCAGCTGAGGAGCTGAAGATGCACAAAACAGCAAATACAAGTCCAACTGCCCCAGCTACTAAGGACATGCTGGAAGTGACAAGGTTTAGCCACGGGGAGATCTCCGAGGGCTGGAACCATATGGGAGGAGTGGGTGGGTTTCTGAGATCTGAAGGATGTCCTTGATTCTGGACCAACAGAGGGACAAGTGAGGATGGCCTCTGGACAGAGGATCACCACAGTGGCATTAGGAATCAGAAGCAGACCTTAACAAGGCATGTTTCTGTCTGAACAAGCCTCTGTCTGTTGAGAGCAGAAGTATCTACTGGGAAATATGGAGTGAAGGGATTGATTGACCTTAAAAGCTAAGAAGATGAGTTCAAGGGGAAATGAGAAGCTGTGGGGGGCTTAAGAGCAGAGAATGACTCAAGAAGTGTGCTTAGGGAGGTCAGCCTTCCTCAGACAGTGCTGGGCAGGAGCGTGGTGATGAAATTTTTCAGCCACCAGTACCTCTGGTATGTTTCACATAGTTGGGGGCCAGAGTCATCAGGAACAGGTACTCTGTTCTGCCCATTCTAGGGCCTGAGGGTGCAGAGAAGAACAAAACAGCATCACTGCCCTCAAGCAGCTGTCAATTGCAGCGAGATAGCTCAGGGAGATACTGCGACCTAAAACAATAACCTCTGCTCTCTAACCTATTCTGACACCTTAGTCACCAAAAGTAGGATAGCAACAAGTGAGAGTGTTAAGAGACTTCTGAGAGCTTCAGCCACAGGTGGTCCCGAGATATACCCTAAACTGGAAAGGAAGGCTCTGAACAGAAGAGCTGTGGGCCACAGACACTTAGGAAGGGGGAGCAGAAATGGTATGTCTAGTCCACGGTGAGTTACATTCTGTTCACCTGAAGAGGGCTGGATTGGTGTCAAAAGCCCTGGAAAAGAAGCTCTCAGTTTCAGAACGAGTTCAAGTTCTTGAGCCTACCCTCTCCATTCCCATTGTCAATGCCTTGGCTCAGCCTCTCATCATCTCTCACACAGGCAGTTAACGAGTCTCCAACCTGTCTC